TTCTTCACGTTTTATAACTACTGCAAGAGAAGCAATGTGGGAGGAATTCAACAAGATATGGACCGATGAGAATATTACGAAGTCAATAATTGATGCTCGTGGTATTACATCTGACTTCTGTTCATGGTTTCTGTTTTATCTACAACAGGCTGTAGCAAAAACCTATCTACAATGTGATTCTACTGCTCTGGTAAATGATTTGGATTTGTCAGATGCTGAACAGGAATCTGTTGCATACATTGCTGGTGCGGTATTAAAAAATGTAGGTTCCAAACTGTGCGAGTTAAAGTGGAAAATTGCAAGCAATGGTCAAGATGTTGCTACAGTGGATAAAGACATTACAATACTTAATGCCTGCAAGGAAACAAGGTCAGATGGGTTGGGTAGCACCAGTACCTCCACTAAACTGATTGAAGCTTTAAGTCGAGGAGGTCTTATTTACCCTAAGGCATCGATTATTAATATGTTCTTAGTTATTGAGGGTATTTTAGGCAAAAAAATAATTCTAGTTCAAAACAAATTTGTACGGATTCTCTACTATCTGAGTCACTGGGGAATGTATCAGTTCAAAATAATTTCCTTGATGCAACTGCACATGAAATTGTTGAACATGCATGAACAAAAATTTAAAATGCTTGAAAAGTTTTTAAATTTTTACCTCAAAGTTAGATGTTATGTCCATGCAAAGTATGTTATTGAAAACTATAGAGTAGACACCAAAACCGAACGTAAGAAAAAAGCACTAAGGAAAAAGTTAAAGCTTTCTGAAGACGGAAATTAATACATGGATCAATGTGTACTTGTGTTTTATTCTAATTGCTAATTCAACAATGTCAATACGTAAAAAGTCTATTTCATTTTAATGTTTTAAACTTTTAATGCTATAACTATAGTGAAACTAAAGTAAAGGCATTGTAGGATGCCAAACAGAATATAGTTATGCACTGGTTTATTTGCAGATATTATTTTGTCAGAAATGTACAGTGTACTGAACAGTTACGGCAACTAGAAATCAGGGCTGCCCAGAGCTTTTCAGGGGCCCAAGGCAATTTTAGGGGGGGTACCCTTCATCACCTCCCCCACCGACATCCCCGTCGACAACTTTTTCATTTCTTTCCTTGTTATACATGGTATTTTGGTATGGTATTTTGCCCAAAAACCAGAAATATTTTGCCAGAAAAATGACTGGCCACCCCCCCCCAAAGAACTGCCCTTCCCCCCAATAACTGGGGGCCGCCAAATTGCCCCCTTTGCTCCACCCCCCTTCTGGGCGGCCCTGCTAGTAACTACTTTTTTCCCCGCCTCTTCAGTGGACTTGTTGTCACGGTTATCCCTTCTTTGGGTCTCTTGGAGCCTCTCGTATTCCCTTTAGGTGTTATAATTGTTGCCACAGTCCATTGTATTCTAAATTTATTTTCTTGAACTCCGAGTGTCTGCAGCGACGGATTTGCAGATCTTCTAGCAGATTGTCGGTGCTGGCCAAAATGCTCTTCAAGAGGATCTTGACTAAACTTGCTGGTCAAGACATACTCAAAGCCATGATTCAACAGGAACTTAACCACATCTTCCAGTGGTAAACAGTTAATCGCAGACCTGTCATACAAGTAACACAACAGAGTAATAAAACAATGGTGCAAAACAGGATATAATAAAACACAACAGTAACACTTGCTAACAAACACTTTTCAGGGGTGGATCTTGTGGTGAGGTGCAGTGTACCCCCTCCAGGAAAGGTAAGCACCCCAGTTAATCTCCCAGTTACAAATCTCCCAGTTGTTGGATATAAGCCCATGTTACAGTCACAAAATAGAATTAGCTAGGGTTATAAATGATTAGGGTTAGTGGCTTATAGTGCTAGGATTATAATTTGGGTATTTTGGACATGGAATAAATATAATAATCATAACATTAACCCTAATCGTGTTTAACCATCTAATAACATGGGCTTATAATATAATTTTATAATTTATTTCCACAAATATAAACTATAGAATAAAGAATTATATACCCCCTCGTATACCCCTTGAAAGCACAGAAGTACAAGACAATATATTAGATATAAATTGTATAATATTTGTATAAATATTTACACAGCATATATGGCGGCAAAACTCGTTTAAATTGTTTGGAATCATAATAAAAAGATGAGTAGACTATCAAATATACTTAAAGAAAGCTATATATTTTACTCTTTTGGCATGAATATCTATTCAAATATTATACAGGGTGTCTCAAAAAACCCCAAAATCATTGAAATAACGTATTGTTCGAATTTCAATGCCGTAACACAAAGGATTTTGACAGGGTGATTAATTTGTTTTAAAAAATTAAAATATCTTTGTAAAGTGAACGTTTGTTTGCTCATGGGAATTTAAAAATGCTTCGTAAATTGTAATATGCGTAATATGCATTCGTGGGTTTAGTACTTTATGCCTGACATAACAAGTTTGGGCTGAGTATTACCATTCATTATAGCAGTTATGTCAATCTTTTATGCACTCGTGGGATTAACTTAGTGCTAGGGCATTGAATATCGAACAATACGTCAATTTCAATGATTTTGGGGTTTTTTGAGACACCCTGTACAATTCGGTTTCTCTGTGTTGAAACCTTACCTATTAAATAAACATTAACAATTTTCTCAAAATGTGGTTTAACTTTATTCATAAATGTCATAAATATGTCACAACATTTAACAACAAACGTACCTGTTTTATAACAACTTTCCTTGAAATGACGAGAACATATGAATGCATTATCCGGATTGAAGCCATTGTCAACTCTATTGACTATCCGAATAAGTTGACTTCGCCATTCTTCATGTACTTTTCCCTTTGGTATTTTAAAGAAACTAAGGGCAGGATACCTAGTTTTTGAAGCATATGTTGGACAATCAACTATACAACAATTTGCTCCTGGCATAGAAAAAGAACTAGTTATAAAATTCGACGATATATACTTTATACTGCCATAAATAAAGCATCACGCTGTAAACTACAATTTAACCGGAAATGAACTTTGCACAACTTGCAAAGATTTCCGCGCGAGCGAACATTGACCTTTGATGTATGCCGGCATTCCAATCCATCCTACCTCTATTATCTATGTTCATACAAGAGCAGTAAATGCACGCATTTCAAAGCGAAATTAGACCCAAAGGGGCAATTTTTCAACAAAATTCATTGTTAAATTATGTTTCCTAAGTGCCTTGGGAGCAAAAAAATATGATTTTAAATTTTGAAGGAATCGGTAAATTTTTTTTCAATTTGACTGTGCCGTAAAAGTAATCAAATATACTATTTTGAATTTCCCTTCATTGAAAGGATCTACTATTGTGGACTAAACTAAATTTTAATCAGCATACATGGCTGCAAACAACAGCCAAGAATTAGCTGGGTAGTTTGCAAACTTTAAAAATAATTGGACCTCAAACTTTGATCCCCAAAAGTAAACAAATGGCCAATACTGCGAACATAATCCAAGTTTTGACCACTAGGGGCAATTTTTAGATGTAAAAAAACTTGTTTAAATTACATATCAAACAAAGGCAAAACAAAATTTGGTATGAATTTTTTGGAGGAAACGTCAAGGTTTTCTGCTATCCGCCCACGCTTCTACACTCCCTCCCCCGGGACCCTCTCTATCAGAAACTATGCTTTTTTATCGGGAAAATTTTTACTTTTCTCAAAAAAATACTTTAGAAACCCGGAAACCTTAAATATTTAAATGATTTTCATACCTTTTCGGGATTGCAAAAAGCAAAACTTGATTCATTATCACACTTTTTAAAATATATGTGACAAAGTTGCTTCGAAATCACTATCACGCAGTAACATGATTATTCACCCTCATCCTTTTGACTGAATAAAGTTTATCTTTTTGAAAAGCTATTTGTTTTATAGCTCTTGGTTAGCAGTTTACGTTTATGTCGATTTTGGCACCCATCAGGCCAACAAGTTATGGTAATCTGCGAATGAGAACTGATATTCGAAGAGCACAAAAGCCAACTCCTAGCTATGTAACTTTATCCCCTGAATTTTGTATCAATCCACAATTAAATTTCTGGTAATGTAGATGCTTTCCATACTTGAGATGTTAGTGAAGTTTTTCCAACAATTTAATTTCCTTGATCGCCGTCTTAAAAATGCAAAATCATCAGTTGAAACTTCACTCGTGTTGTTTTTTCAAATTTTCGAATTTTTGTAAAATATCGCGTGCGCCAGCAATTTCTCTGCACAGCGACAACAAATTTCCCAGCTGTTTAAAATTCCAGGAATTTTTTTCAAAAATAAGGAAATTTCGAACGGTTGGAAGGAAATTATGTTTTTTGAAAATGGAAGCACTCAGCGGTAATTTTGTTGTTTACGTCAGGATTGTCCGACCATCTTGTCATCTTGTCAGAGGAGGTTGGACAGCAGGCCGCACAACCTCGTACCCAGGGCCTCCTAGGTTGCAGGCCGCAAAGCATCATGGGTATTGAGCGCCAAATTCCGCGCGTGGCTTCATTGACTGTTGACTGCAAAGGAGGCCCAGGCTCGATTTGCCAAATCGAGCCTGGGCCTCCTGTGACTAAACCAATATGCAGAGGAGGTTGGACAGCAGGCCGCAAAGCATCATGGGTATTGACACAGGGGGTCCAACTAAGAGCTGTGTTATGAATATGAATAAAACATTAATTAAACGTAATATGAATAAAACATCATAACGTAATATATTTAAATTATTGCACTTACTTGTATAAATCATAAGAGCTTGTATTTGCAGTGAATAGCTTTTAACAGGGCGCTTATACACGCTCAGAAAATCGCTCAGAAACACTTGATTCGAACGATTGTTCAAATATGGCGAATAAATTGACAAAACGAAAATATTACATGACGTTCCAACGAAAATAACAGCAAGGATTGCGGGCGCGAGCGGAAGGCGAGGGTAATAGATATTAATAGAAGGGATGAAACACCGGTAATGCGATCGTGTGATGTGTTCCATAAGTAGCCTGTTCTCTCGGAAAATTCCAAAACGCCTCCTGCCAACTCCAACAACGCCTACGCGCTTAATTAATGAAAATAAACAATGTTTAGCTATACCGGCTAATATGAAATGTTTAAATGTAGCGACCAACGGTTTTTTTTACATTATTTAGTTTTATTATTATTTCGTCATACGTCACGAGAACAGGCTACTTATGGAACACATCTCGCGATAATGGCCAAGAATGCTCGCTGTTATAAATCACATAAATTAGATTGATCAGTGCTTTTTTGGTAATGACTAGGCTTGTTCATGTAAGAGAACATCGACTGAGCCTTAAAAACCCCACAAAAAGCTTAAACGGATAGTCTAGAAGCATTTTAAAAAGTCACGTGATATTTGTTTCATCCCTTCTATTTATTTCTTCCCTGAGTTCCCTCGCCTTTTCGCGCGCCCGCAATCCTTGCTGTTACTTTCGTTGGAACGTCATGTAATATTTTCGTTTTGTCAATTTATTCGCCATATTTGAACAATCGTTCGAATCAAAATGTTTCTGAGCGATTTTCTGAGCGTATATAAGCGCCCTGTTAAAAGCTATTCACTGCAAATACAAGCTCTTATGATTTATACAAGTAAGTGCAATAATTTAAATATATTACGTTATGATGTTTTATTCATATTACGTTTAATTAATGTTTTATTCATATTCATAACACAGCTCTTAGTTGGACCCCCTGTGGTATTGAGTGCCTAATTCCGCGCGTGACTTCATTGACTGTTGACTGTCGAGGAGTGAACATCTCTGACTAAACCAATATGGAAGCTTTCGAACGACAAGAGTGTCAGGCTGCGATACTTTGTGAAAAGAAACAGCATGTTATTGCTGTATTGTTGCGATCATCATTATGACTTGTGTTTTACTATGCCAAGTTTACCTTTTTTAAATATTTGCATGGGACATGTTGTCATTTTAGCTTGATAAATATAAATGCGTCTGAGCGAAGGAATTGTGTTTATATTCCCAGTAGCGAGGCTCTTCTTTCTAACTTGGATGTATCATCAACGTGATGAAAACAGGCGCAATATTTAAGGTTGGTATACTACAATGCATTACAGTTACCTTGTTATTTAGTCAAATTATTATCCGCTTTGTTGTTTTTAACCTTGTACTGTAATTTCGACCCTATTGTGTGTGTCTGTGTACTGTGTCACTGTGATACATATGTACATGCTTTGAGTTAAACAAATTGTTTAATAAATTTTTGCTGAAGTATGATGCCTGTTTGTATCTAGTTGTGGATAGATTTTTACATATATGTGCATACAATAGTGATATTTTTCAATTTTCATCTGTAAAATATTGCCATATTTGTGTGTTGTTCTATAAATATTACTGTAAATAGTGACACACTTTTGCATTAGATTTCTAATTTTAGAGATTACAGCTTATGTACAAAATAATAAAATAAAAATTTTCTTGTTATGATTTTGTAGAAACTAAGGATCTACTTGAGTGGTTGGCTGGTCTTGAACCTGGTCAGCATGGATATGGTAATGAAGGTGATAGGGCAGAAAGTGGTGACCAGTTAAGTGATGAGGATGAAAGTGACGAGGACGAAATC